AGAGATTGGGATTCGGGTACCGGAGGGGGGGGGGAAGGAGCCTGCTCGAGGATTTGCAAAATGAGGGATGAAAGAATTAACCTTTGCCCGTTAAGAAAGGTGGCTCTCCGACAAACACCCACAGTCCCCCCACCCCACCCTGCCACCCCAGGCTGGCTCCAGACCCTGTTCAGCCAGGGACAAAGAACAGCGTCTCTCCCCATTCTCCGTTGCTCACACCAGGGACTGGATCAGACCCTGACAAGAGGGAACGGGCAGGAGCTGAGGACCACATACAAGCTTAGGGGGTGGTAAGGAAGCTGTGGGGCACCCACCTGCCTTCACTCTTCTCATCTCTGCCCCCTACCTCTCTCCCAGGTAGGTCCCTTCCCCACCCTTCAGGGTAGGGCCAATGGCCAGCTCTCAGCCCAATCGCTGGACCTTGGGGGGGGGGCTTGCCTCCTTCAGCCCCTCCTTGCCCCACTGAGAACCCTCTGCTCCCCCTCCTCTTTATGATCCTTGCCCTACCCCAGTCTGATCCCCCTAACTTAATTCCTTATGGAAAGGTTGCCCAAAGACCCCGGCGGGCTAGCAAAGACTAAGCCAGTGGAGATCTCCCGCCTCGCCTTGGCTCCTCTTGCTTCAGCCACCCTGTTAAATATTAACCGGTAACCTGAACTCGGTTCCTGTAGCCACTTTCCCAGGGTGGCTGCTGACCGCCTTCCAGTTAATACTTAGCCCTCCGAGCGCTTTTAAAACTCACCACCACCTCTTTGATTTTTAGCGGCACGATTTGGATAGAGCGTGTGAATGTGGCAGCAGCTTTTGCTTTAGTTAGCTGTTCAACTACTGCAAGTCCGGAGTAGCCGATCCACTCTTAAATCAGCCAGGAATTCGCTGCTGATTAAAATGAAGATTAATTTTATTTAGCACGCTCCGCAAAAAAATATACGGCTGTGGTATTGGAAATGTGCATGGCACAGGAAATTAACTAGATAAATGAACTCCTCCTCAGAGCTCTAAGTATCCATCCCAGTGAGAAAAGTGCCCATGGCATCTCAGGGTAAACGCCTGCCTGCTTGCTTCTAGTTGGGACAAAAATAAATGTTGCAGATGATATGTCATTAGAGGAGGCAGTTCCTTGACTACTAAAAGCGTCTGAGTGCCCAGCAATTTTTCTCACTTCCTGAGTTTTGCCACTTTGGTTTTTTTTTTTTTTTCGTTAGTGTCTGAAACTCTTTTTTCCTTTGAAGCTTGATTTCTCAAAACCAAACTCATGTCTCTTTCAGCTCTCATAACGGGCTGTTTATAAAGTTTGTGGATGTTTTTAGCCTCTGTAGGGTGTTTGTGGGTGTGACACGGGGGTGGATGTTTCATGGTGCGCTGCTTTGTGGCTGGGCTTGTGTCACTGTGTTCTGGGAGCAAACTCCACAATAAATGGAGAAGTCATAGCTTTGCCCCATGATAATGAGAAGTGGAATTTGGTCTCGGTTCTGCAGAAGGAGCTGTTTGTCCCGTTGGCTGGTTATAGGAGATGAACGGGGTGGGAGGAGACAGTGTGTGATCCGTCAGGCCCCACCTCAGCCATCATGATTCGAAAGCTTGACTCAGTTACCTCTGGACTACACCCCCCAAAATCCCCCACTCTTTATGGGCAGTGGCCCTGCTGGCCAGTTTTTCTGGTCATTGTAGTCCAAAAAAATACATTTCTGGTGGTTTTGATGGTGGTGTGAAATGGAACCTCCATGCTCAGAAGCAGCCTACCCGCCAAAACCAGTGGGATGGTTTATTGCTGCTCTTTCATGCCCTACTTAGGAGGTGCAGGGAAAGAAGAGCAGACTTCCTTCCTTGTTGCCTTCCAGGATCAAGGAACCTTTCCTCCCACTTTTGCAGGCAGATCTTGCATTTGTATGGAGGTCTGGGTAAACCGGGGTGAGTGACAACATATGATTGGCAGAAATCGATCCATATTGGCGACGGGTTCATGTGACAGCTCAAAATGGAAACTCCCTCTTCAGGAGGAGTATATCTGAACACCAGATAGAGTGAGCTTCCTGTGTTGATTCTACGCTCCCCCAAATGGCCTGGCTGCCTATGGGCTCATAATGACCCAGCTGGACATTCTTCCACAGCTACATTAGATGCTTTCAGCCCATATAAGGACACTTAAAAAAAAAAAGGGATTTAGGGCACCCAAAATGTCCAATTTCTCTCAGTGCAACTTTCTTTGGTTCCACTTCCTCATACTCCCAATTTATTTCACACCCGCATCAACTACTCCATCTTTCAGGCAATGAAATTCTTTCGTTTTTCTTTTTGTTATATGTGTCATCTTCCGTGGCTTTGCTCTCTTTGATGGTGGCAAGGAAAGTCACTGGTAGGAGAAATCCGGCAGGTTTCCTACATCCCCGCGCAGGAGATCAGTTGGAAAGTCCCCATTCGAACCTTGTGTCGTCCATGATCTCACCCATGGCTTGACTGACACTGGAAAGAGACATCAGAGACAGCCAGGAATTAGCGCTGGGGCACATTTGTGTTGTGGAGAGGTGACAGAAGCCGTCCCCCACTTTTGGGGAACCAGATTTCAAAGGCCTTTCCAGCCCCGACCCATAATCCTAAAAGTGTGTGAAGCTGCAGCACTCAGATGCTTTCCCGAGACAAGAGCTTCCCTCTTCCAATCAAGGGCTGTCTATAAGGTCTCTTTCTGGCCTCGGTCCATTTCTCAAGTTTAGCTGCTCGTCTCCGGTAGCCCCTACCTTAGAGAGTTGTGGTTGTGAAAGTTTAGCTGTGTGGTTGCCATTTTGGTTTGTGTTGCTTCCGACCTCAGGTAATCCTAATAGGGTTTCGGAGGCCTGTGAAATGTTCAAAGGGTGGTTTTCTATTTCTGGGCCACCGCCTCCACCATCTCTTGACTGTCCGATACATCCCAGAAACCCTCTTAGGGGTGCCAGATGTTGGAGGCCACTGGGCAGCTCTGAGAAAATCAAGGGGCCTCCTGTTTCCTCTGCTGCGGTGGTTATATATGCCAACAAGGGGGCCAGCTTCTGAGTTCCACAGAACCCTTCTTCAGCCTGGAGAGAATTTCTGTAGGAGCAGGAGAGGGAAGCCATTGGTGGCCTTAGCTGTGCTTCTGAAAACCAGGCCTCCAAAGGGAGGGGGGTGCCAGGCACTGCAGTGTGAGACGCCCCCCCTGCCCAAGGTCCCCCTCTGTGGATTAAGAAGTGGCGAGAGGGAGGGGGTGCTCCCAAAGAAGGAACGGGTCTGCAGTGTTTTGAGAAAGGGATAAGCTGTCCATGCTAATCCCTGGGGCTCTGGGGGTCATTTCCTCTGTTTGCTGACCTTAAATCCTGTTTGTGTTGGCGGGGTGGCAAAAGCAGATGTCGGTGTTGGTTCTGGAGCCAGGCAGGAGGGAAGCCGGGGTGATGATTCCCGGGGCTTCCCTGCTTTTGGTCCTCTTGTGGTTGGGGGGGTTCATCACTGGGAAACACCAGCTCCCGAGGGGGGCTCCCCCCATCTTGATCACAGCCATTTCCGGGGTGTCCACGATCCTCCATCCACACACAGCACAAGGCTCGGTGGGAAACTAGAAAGAAGAGGGAGTTCCTTAAAGTAGACGCCACCTCTTTTCCAGGTTCAAAGGGTCATTATTGGGGTGGTGGGGTTTCCACTAAATGGAATGGGGTTTTTAATGAGGACCGTCATGGCAGGGCTGGTGTTGTCCCCATATAATTGTCCAGAGAGAGGAGGGAAGACTCCCCAGCCACACCGCCGGCCCGCTCACCCACTCCCGCCAGCTATGAAAACAGAGAGAACAGATGTTTGTTCTTTATTTACCTCCCTTTCCTCTTCCGCAGGGCCTCCCTGCTCATCTCCTTCTCCCAAGTAACAGCCCTGTGACCCATGTCAGACAGAGAAGGCGAGAGGGACGAGTTCAAGTCCACCCCACTGTTCAACGTGCCAGTCGGGGGGCCCTCACCCTTCGGCCGCTCACTCTTCCCAGGGCAACTAGGGCCGCTCTGTCGAGAAGCACAGTGGAACTGGCCAACTGTGCTGGTTTTGCCAGATGTTTTTTTTATATATATAATTTTTTATTTTTTAACAAGGGGGTGACAAAAAGGAAAAGGGGAATTGAGGTTCATGGGGAAAAGGAGAAACAATCACATACTAGCATCCATTCTATACCTATTGCCATATCAAAATTCCACGTTACTCTATTTACTCTTTTCTGCCTTCTAGGTTTAAGTTCTCGTTTCAATATATGCTCTTCATACGTTGCGTGTTGATTCCGTCCACTTTGTAGAATAAGTCCCATCTTTCTGTTGCCTTTTGGAAATGGACTTCTGATAAAATGTCCATTTCCGCTATTTCCCGTATCTTCTCAATAAGATCTTGTTTTGGTATCGTCGGACTTTCCCAATTTTTGGCATAGAGAATTCTTGCTGCGGTGAGATGTTTTCTGGGTTGCTTACACCCCGGGAAGCTCCATCCATTTCATTGCTATCTTGAAACGCACACACACAATGGCTGTGACAGAGAGGGAGACACACACACAAACACACACAGGATCAGAAGAAGTAGAATCTCATATGGGGGACACCTGTAGAAGAAATAGTAGAGAGACGAGGAATTTAAAATTGAGCTTAAACCCGTTGGATGTGTCTGTTTCCCTCCAAGGGTTCTTGGGAGCTGGGAGCCAGGTTTTGCCTAGAACTCGCTAGGTTTGTCTGAAACACGGAGTGGATCCTTCTTGGTGGGATTCTGAGCTCCGGGGCCTAGAGATGGGAACGAACCCCGGTGGGGGGGGCTCGTGGGGCGGATGTGTCCGTGATCCAGCCCTTACAGAAACGAAGGAGCCCCGTCCTCTGCTGGTTTTTCAGCTTACCTCTCTGGAGAACAGCCCGGAGCTACGGCGCGTCGACTCCAGCCGGAAGTCGAGAAACTTCAACAAGCAGCCCAGCACGGGCGATTACTACAAACATCTGGGCGGCGGCGAACCAGCTGGGAGCAACCGGAAGATGGCCCACAGCGAGGAGGTGAGCCACTAGGGAAGACTGCCTCGGGGACGCACTTCCCCTCCTGTTTTCGTCCTTCTCCTGTCTGAACAGGCTGGTTGTTCAAATACTGACTTTGGAATGGGGATGTGGAAAAGAAGGCCTTTTTTTGGTGGCTGCTCCCAGCCTGCGGAACTCCCTGCCCGTAGACACTCGGCCAGCCCCCTACCTGTTCTCCTTCCAACCGGCCTTTTTCTTTGCACAGACTTTTTGGCTGATAGTGATCTGCTGAGGAAGGGTGCTGTACTTATACACTGCTCTTGAGTCAGTCTTTTTGTTTCATGGGACAATCCCTTTTCATTATATCCTATCGTTGCAACTTACAGTTGGACCCCCCCTATCCAAGGGGGGCTGGTTTCAGCCCCCCAGGGGATGCTGAAAAAAAGATTACAGCAAATGCTATAAATAGCATGGTCTCTCTCTCCCTCTAGAGGCCAGTTTTGGTAATTTCATCATCAGAAATAGATATTTCTAGGATTTTTCTTTTAATTTTTTTTAAAAAAATATTTTCAGATCGTGGATAAGTGAATCGGTGGTTACTGATCCTGTAGATACGGAGATCCTACTGTGCTGTGTTTATAATTCTACCTGTATCTGCTCTTCTTCCTGCATCCCGTCATCTGGGGTGCCAATAGTGGGGGAAGGGAAAGTTAGGACTAAAGTCAATCCATGAAGCAATATATTTCTGAACCTGAAGCCTGCCCTGCAAGGTGGTCCAGGATTTTGTGGGGATGGGGAAGCTTCTGTGTCCAGGCACCGTAGGACACCTCTAGTGGACTTTTGTGGGAAGAGGGGGTTATGTCTCCCATTGATGTCCAAATTCCAGTGCAACCCCCTCCATGGGGTGGTTCTTGATGCTGGTGTGGCTTTATCTCTCCCTTCCTCTCTTCCAAGGCTTCGCTTCTGTCCGAGGAGAGTGTGCAAAATGGGAGTGCGGCAGAGAGCAAGCCTTCCGGCGAGGTGCCTCCCCCTCCCC